AATATCGATATTATTTACACTTCAAGGTCAGCACATATGTTTTGTATAAAACTAAATTTACGGATTTTATCGCGTTTATTTCACTACTTTTACTTATTTTTAATTCCCGACGTTTCGGGTGCTTTACAGCAACCATGTTCACGGGGGGAACTGAGATGTTTGACGTCCCAATGTCATAGTTAGTCCGGCTACCTTCAGTTTTTGAATATTAATTTTTGGTCCGATTTACGCAAAACGAGCTTATAGTATCATGAAGTCTTGCAGTGGTATGCTTAGGTTTGGGTTTAATTTTGTTAATTATAGGATCCCAAGCAGGTGGCAGCACCCATCCATCTTCTCTATTGAAATTTGGATGTTTTTTAATTTCAATAGCCTCGCGTATCATCCTTGGTAGGAATCGGTGTTCTTTTGCGAGAATTTGTGGTTTATCAAAACGAATGTAATGGTGGGGATGATCTTGAACATGTTCGCAGACTGCAGACTTCCCGGAGCGTCGGTGCTTCACGTCAGCTATATGTTCTTTCACGCGGGTTTTTATGGATCTTTTTGTTTGACCTATGTAAGAGAGACCACATTCATAATCTAACTTGTACACTCCTGCATCTTGTAGAGGAATATTACACTTGACTGATGGTAAAAATTGACTAATCTTCTTCGGCGGCTTGTAGTATGTTTTAATAGAAGCTCGCTTCAAGATGTAGCCAACCTTGTCTGTGACTCCTCTGACATATGGTAGTACAGCAGGTACACGCTCGACTGTGGCCGGCTTCACTCCGTCACTGTGACGTAGGCGCGGGACCCGAAGCTTGTTGTCTTGCAATACTTGCTTGACGTGCTGAAGTTCGGCGACCAGATGTTTTCTGTCACAGATCCCTCGTGCTCTCTGAAACAAAGATTTACCCACGGTAGCTAACTGTGAAGGATGATGGTGAGATTCACCATTTAAATATCGGTTGGTATGGGTCTTTTTTTCTATACACAGTGTGACCAATTGTGTTATTAGGATTTCGAATGACTAAAACATCTAAGAAAGCTAAAAAATTATTTGCCTCTAACTCCATTGTGAATTGTATTTAGAGTTTATAGAGTTAAGGTGGTTTAAAAATGCAGTTACTTTGTCAGATGGTAAAATTGTGAAAGTGTCGTTTACGTACCGCTTGTAGAATCTTGGATTTACAGGAGCAGTAAGAAGCGCTTTCTCCTCGAAGTCCTCCATGAATATGTCAGCGACTATGGGAGATACAGGTGAGCCCATCGCACACCATCTACTTGCTTGTAGAACTCTTCCTTCCACAATAGATAGCCAGATGTGAGGCAGTGTTTGAGTAATACTGCATATTCAGCAGGCATGTTATTATATTCTAGCTTCCTAGTTACAATTGATATGCAGTCTTCAATAGGTAGGCATGTGAATAGTGACTGAACATCAAAACTGACCATAGTTTCATTGTCAGCGAGATGTAGGTCTTGTGTGCCTATTTGCCTAAACCGTGTGACGTACATTCACTGTGGCTGGATTCGTTCGTATTCTGTATGGCGTTTACACGCATTGACATGCGCGACTTCGGTCGATGTTTGTGCTTACGCACTAACAAGGGGCCAAGCCTCTTTTACTGGTTCGCCATTTATTTTGCTGTGGACTACGATCCAGTTCCCGAATTAGCGTTCCCTTCGGGGGGGAGTGCATCAAAATGGTTGGCGCTCACCGTGCACGGCGTGTGTGGGGCCGTGTGCCTCCCCTACATTTTTTTAATAAATGTAGGAGAGCGAAGCCCTTGTATCGGGTATTTTGTATAAATATATTTTGAGCCTTTTTCGAGCGGGAAGGGATAAATAATATTAAATTAATAATGTAAACTTGATACAAGTGGAATTGTGACATTTTATGTTCTTAACCTTTCTCGAGCCCTGTCTTCGTGAACGGGGTTCACTTAGCTTATAAGGCACTACCAACAGCTTTCAATTGCTCTGGCGAATATTCATTCTTCCAAAAGACACCTAAAAGAACTAAGTTACTAAACAAACACAACGTAAATAAGGGTCCTAACTAAGACGATCACGCCAAAAATATTACAAACGGCCTATTATTAAACCTTTAGAAAGATCATTTAGAAAGATCAAAACATATCTTAATTATCTTGGTCACATATATATAATTTTTATCGAAAAGGGGTAAATTAATTATATCTAATATATTTATTATTATGAGAGGGGGGGGAAGTGTTACAACTGGCATAACATATAGTCCTCAAGCAGGGTATGTTTCCGTGATTGGATGATAAAATCGGGCGTAACGGGTACTAGGGAACAGTACCTTCAGTACAAGTGATGTACACGAGTTTACACATATTAGTACTGTTAGAGACCATAGAAGTCTTAAATTTGTTACCCTTAATAATGGTACATGGAGGTCATATCCTTCATTGGATCACAGTGTGAACTTAGATTTCCTCCGTGACAATTGTTGGAGTCCTTTTAATGACTTAAACATAGACCTCAAGGTTGTGCGCACTGTCCTCGTAGCGGCGATAGGCGGCGGCGACCTCTCGCGTCCGGCCCTGGTGGAAGCCATGGTCCGGAGCGAGACGGAATGGGATGCCGTCACCACCTTCTGCGAAGCAGTGATGCTAGCGAAGGAGGTGGCGGAGCGGGAGAAGGAGAGAGCAGCAGCTTTCCTCCCCGGCCGCCGCGGGAGACGCCCCGGGCGTCGGGGGCTACGTCGTGGCCCCCGGCCACCGTAGGCGCGGGTCTGTGGACGGCGAGCAATGGGTAGCTCGCCGTCCGTCCGTCTAACGACGACGGGCCGTGTCGACGGCGCGTTTTGTTCCACGCGCGCCTCAAAGAGCTGTCAGCAGCGTGAAGGGGCCCGTAAGGGCCAACGCCTGCCGGAGCTGAGGGCTGTTTGAAAGAAATACCGCGGCTCCGGAACGTAAGGGCACTGAAGGAACACGGATGGTTTTTAGTCAGTACAAGTCTGACACTCCCTTACGCTCCACCCAGAGCGAAAGGGGTCATTAGATGATTTTCCATCCGCAAAAAAAAAAAGGTTGTGCGCACAACCCAAGGTACATTTTACATTGATATAGAAAAAAAGTTTATGTACCAATAAAATGTAATAAATGTTACGAAAATGTAATATAATACCCAAATAAATGGGGGGCCCATATTTATAAAGTACCCGCGTGATAAAAATCACGAAATAAAATATAAATGAAATAAATTAATACTCCGATTCCCGGTATCTAATAAATAAATAAATATATAAGTGAATAGAGAAAAAAAGAGCTAGGTAAAGGTCAAAAATATTAGGAAGAAATAAAAGAAAGTACGTACAAGAATTATGGAAAAAAAGGCCTATTAATCGATAAAAATACAGGATAATAAGGGGATAGTGATAGATAGTGTGTTCAAAAATTTTGCATTTCTGTATTAGGACTATTAATGCTACCCAAAATGTGACTTACGAGTTACAAATGTAATAACTATGGGGATCGATTTACACAACTACGCCAAAATGTGTTGTGTGTGTATGTATTGTGCGCGTAATTGTTTAACCACATTTGTATATGAATTTTCTTAGTAATAGATGTTTTTTGCTTAATAAGGAATTAATAAATTTGACATAAATAAAGAAACAAATTAATGATAATTGGTTGTAACATTTGCAATTTATAATATATAATGATTGATAAATTAATTATTATAACAAGTATGTGACATTGAGCTATAATAATATTCTTACGTTGGTATTTCCTCTGACGCTGTTAATTAATTAGAAAGTTATCATATTAATTAAAAAAAATATTGAATAATTTATATGTTGTTAAAATTTAGATAAATATTGTTATAGTTACCTGTCCATTAAAATTTACACATTACTATTGTAGAATATGTAGAACTAAATTATATTTAAACACCATTGCACAACTATATTGTTGCAAAACAAATGTTATTATTTTTAAGTAGTTATTTACCGATTAATTATTGCGGTATAATACGTAATTTTAAATTTTTCTATTAATAGCACTAATGTTTTTCCTATTTTTTAATGAATGATTTAAAAAAAATTTCTTTCCCCAGTTCTGTGTATAACATTATATAAGTAATAATATAATTTGACAATAGATATCGACACCATTATTATATAATTAAACTTACATTCGGTGCTTTCGAGATGGCTTGTACCTGCTACAGAACTTCGCTCGTTGTACCCCTGACTTCTTTCTGCTGCTCTGGCACTCGAAGATATTCTTAGCTCCTCGATGTGGTTGGGCCTGGACTTCCTCGAACTCTTCTTTTTTCTTTCATATTTATTTTTGATTAAGGTGTTTTCTGTGTCTTGGAATCTTCTTTCTTGGAAATTTTCTCTCTTGTCTTCTTGATTTAATAACAATGTTACTGGAGCTTCTTGTATAATTTATTTTTCAGGTCTTTTCTTCATTTCTTCTATAACATTTTTTCTTTAAGTATATTATAGGCTTCGATTTCTCAAAAAAAAAATTGTAGTCTCTTCTTATATTCATAATTAAAAATTTAAGTGTCACATCCAGTATAAAGTTATTTTTGTTATTATATATTTATTTGATACATTACTTCAATTTCTTATGCAGGTCCCGGCGGTGCGCTTGCATTGTAGCAGCGCACCGCCTGGCAGGGTCGCTATGCAATGTGGGGAGATTCGGGGAATAAATGATAATACGTCTAGTGGTCTTTGCTGTAGGTTTATTACTAACTCTCTCTTATTCTATTCTACATATATAATAATAATAATAATAACAGCCGAGCGCGAGGAGCTGCAAGAACACCTAACAGCCCCCCGCATCCATCATCCCCACCAGACGGCTTGATGTCGGCAGGGTCCTCTCGGACTCGGCAAGCGGCATCCGCCGCTGGTGGAGTGCGCCGCATGCGTTGGACAAGGGATATGAACGCAAACGCATTGCGGGCGTACTATAGGGCGAAAGGGGGAAGAAACTGCGGGGATAGCGTATCGGGCTCGGATGCATTGCTTTTTTGCTGAGCTGGAGCCGTCTATTCCCGTCACGGAACAAAACCTGGCAGACCGAGTTCGGTACATCATGCGCTCGAAAATATTCGATGATGCCGAGCTCGAACGACTACGACGTGAGGCCATTCCCTCATCGAATGAATTGGCTACGGCTGGGGATGCGGCTTCTCAGGCGACAGACCAGCTGCCACGCGTAGAAGCCGCCATGGATCTTCCAGTTGTGGTTGATTCAGATGATGATGAAATGGTCTCCCACGAACTAGAGCAAATGAGGAGTATATTGGAAGAGGCAATTTTGGAAACGCGCAGCATGCCTCTCGAAAATCGACCGCGACTTCCCCGCATACCTCTAAGCAAGCGAAATCGGGCTGTCGTGAGGGCTCTTAACCCAATGCTGGTAACCTATTTGGAAGCCAGCCGGGACCTTTGCGAGACGGACTCAGTTCTTTTTGGCGCCGCAGTGGCAGCTTGCCGTATTATTGGCGCCAGACTTCCCATGGCTGGACGCGCTACTAAACAAAGTAGCGCCATCCCAGCCTGGAGAAAAAGAATTGAGGACCGTATCGCAAAGGCAAGGGCCCTTATCGGCAGACTGATAAGCTTCAGGTCGGGTAATAATAGACCGAGGGTTGTGCGCACCGTTAGAATGGCGTTTGCTGGGACAAATATCAGTTTATCCCAGCCGGATATCACGCAGAAACTAACGGAGCGCATAGACGACCTGAAGCAAAAGATTGCTGCTTGGGGGAAGCGGATTCGCCGATTTACTGAGAGGTCAAGGCGGTTCAACCAGAATCGTCTCTTCCAGAGTGATCAGAAGAGGCTCTACAAATCATTGGAGCGACCAGAGGTATGTGGAGCGGGCCCAGGACCGGACCAGGCTAACACTGTCGCATTTTGGCGTGGCCTGTGGTCAGAGCCCGTAAACCACAGCGAGGGCCCTTGGACGGAAGTTGTGGCGAGTCAGTGTGCGAGGATTACGCCCATGGACCCCGTCATCATAACGCCGGATGACGTAGCTGAGGCGGTCCGTAGAGCCCCGAACTGGAAAAGTCCGGGACTCGACGGACTGCATCACTACTGGCTGAAGGGGTTCATGGTGTGTCACGCTGTGCTCGCCCGTCAGTTTCAAGAGGCTCTCAACCAGAAGTCGCTCCCTAGCCTCTTCACTACTGGGATCACTCATTTGGTTCCTAAAGACCAGGTTACCACAGACCCGAGCAAATACCGCCCCATTACGTATCTACCCACCATATATAAGACACTGACATCCATTTTGAGCGCGAGAATCACTCGTCACCTGGAGCTAAATCAGGTGATGTCACGCGCTCAAAATGGATGTCGGGGCGGTGGTCGTGGAACTAAGGAACCACTCCTCATTGAGGCGGTCATTGGCAGAGTGGTGAAACGCAACCGTCGGAACTTCTCCGCCGCCTGGATAGACTACAGAAAGGCATTCGACTCGGTGCCCCATACATGGCTAAAGAGAGTCCTCGAGCTGTACAAGATAGACTGTACAGTGAGAGACTTCCTCGAGCAGTGTATGGGGCAGTGGAGTACGATCCTTTGTCATCTGGGTGAGCGGATGACGGCTGCGGAGAACCACATAAGGATAAGAAGGGGTATCTTCCAGGGCGATTGTCTGAGTCCAATCTGGTTCTGCCTCTCCCTGAACCCTCTCAGTACCTTACTGGAGGGATCCGGGAGGGGATTTCAGCTTCGAAAAGAGGGACAAAAGTGACCCACCTTTTCTATATGGATGACCTTAAGTTATTCGCCTCCAGTCGCTCCCATCTTATGGAATTGCTAAACATCACTTGTGAATTTAGCAATTCTATTAGAATGGAGCTGGGGACGGATAAGTGTGCGGTCCTCCATGTTGAGAGGGGAAGGGTTGCTAACTCTGAGGGCATAGATTTATCTATGCCCGTCAACTTAAGGACCCTTTCCGAGGCTGAAACATACCGATACCTGGGTATGTCACAGAACATCGGTATCGATGAGGCTGGTATGAAACAGTCAGTTTGCGACGTGTTTTATGCACGCTTGACCAAAGTGCTTAATAGCCTTTTGTCCGGTGTGAATAAGACACACGCATATAACGGTTGGGTCATACCTGTCCTTATGTATACCTTTGGCATACTCAGGTGGACTCAGACTGAACTTAACGCCCTGGATAGAAAAGTCCGCACTACCATGACGTCCTATAGGATGCATCATCCGAGATCGTCGGTAATGAGGCTGTACTTGCCGCGGAAGCATGGTGGTCGTGGCTTCTTGAGCGCGCTCACCATGCATAATCGCGAAGTGTGCAGCCTCCGTGATTACTTCCTGGCGAGATCGGATGATCCATTCTATAAGGACGTCATTTCTTGTGATAAAGGACTTACCCCTCTATCCTTAGCCAACGAGCAATGGCAAGACCCGCCAGTGCAGAGCATTTCCTACCGGGAGACCGTATGGATGGAGAAGGAGCTCCACGGGAGGTTCTACAAGGCTCTACATGAGCCTTTCGTAGACACAGTAGCCTCCCTCCACTGGCTACGCTTTGGTGATCTCTTCGGGGGAAACCTAGGGTTTTGTCTGTGCAATACAGGATCAGGTTATTAAGACCAACAACTATCGGAGATACATCCTAAAGGATGGCACCGTCGACATCTGTCGAGCTTGTCGCCATCCCGGTGAGTCACTTAGGCATGTTATCTCCGGTTGTTCGACGCTTTCTAACTCTGAGTACTTGCACAGGCACAACCTAGTAGCCAGAATTCTACACCAGGAGCTCGCTCTGAAATACGGTCTCGTGGATCGGAAATTGCCGTATTACAAGTACTTGCCGGAAGCCGTGCTCGAAAATGATCGCGCCAGGCTCTATTGGGACCGGGCCATCATCACAGACAGGACTATTCTTGCGAATAAGCCTGATATTGTGCTGATGGACCGGGCACAGTCAAGGATATTTTTGGTCGACATTACCATTCCGTATGACGAGAACCTCGTGAAAGCCGAAACAGACAAGCAAACAAAATATCTGGACCTGGCTCACGAGGTGACCGACATGTGGGGTGGTCTGCCGACCGAAATTATTCCTGTAGTCGTCTCTGCAAACGGGCTAATCCCAGTCAGCCTCTCGGGTCATCTGAGGCGGCTGGGACTACGTGGCGGACCGCTCCAGGTTCAAATGCAGAAGGCGGTGCTCCTCGATACCGCCCGCATCGTCCGCCGGTTTCTTTCCCTTTCCCCCTAACCCTCGGCCGTTTGGTCTCCCCTGCCGAGGGCCTCCATCTGGTTGGGCTTTTATTTATTTATGTACTTTTATATTTATGTATATTTATTTTTTCATTTTCATTTATAATTATATATTTATAGAACCCAACCAGATGAGAAAACTATATAGATACCCCATAATAATAATAATACTCAGGTCAGGCAACCCAGCGAGAGGATGGCGTTTGCTGGGACAAATGTTAGTTTGTCCCAGCCGGATATAATGCAAAAACTGACGGAGCGCATAGACGACCTGAAGCAAAGAATAGCTGCCTGGGGAAAGCGGATTCGGCGATATACCGAGAGGTCGACACGGTTCAACCAGAATCGTCTCTTCCAGAGTGATCAGAAGAGGCTCTACAAATCATTGGAGCGACCAAAAGTAAGGGGAACGAGCCCAGCACCAAATCAGGCTGACACGGTCGCATTCTGGCGCAGCCTGTGGTCAGAGCCCGTAAACCACAACGAGGGCCCTTGGACGGAAGTTGTGGCGAGTCAGTGTGCGGGTATTACGCCCATGGACCCCGTCATCATAACGCCGGATGACGTAGCTGAGGCGGTCCGTAGGGCCCCGAACTGGAAAAGTCCGGGGCTTGACGGGCTGCATCACTACTGGCTGAAGGGGTTCATGGTGTGTCACGCTGTGCTCGCCCGACAGTTTCAAGAGGCTCTCAACCAGAAGTCGCTCCCAAGCCTCTTCACTACTGGGATCACTCATTTGGTTCCTAAAGATCAGGGTGCCACAGACCCGAGCAAATACCGCCCCATCACGTGTCTACCGACCTAACCGTGTGACCATTATACAAGACACTAACATCCATTTTGAGCGCAAGAATCGCTCGTCACCTGGACTCAAATCAGGTGATGTCGCGCGCTCAAAATGGATGTCGGGGCGGCGGTCGTGGAACCAAGGAACCACTCCTCATTGACGCGGTCATTGGCAAAGTGGTGAAACGCAACCGTCGGAACTTCTCCGCCGCCTGGATAGATTACAGAAAGGCATTTGACTCGGTGCCCCATACATGGCTAAAGAGGGTCCTCGAGCTGTACAAGATTGACTGTACAGTTCGAGACTTCCTCGAGCAGTGTATGGGGCAGTGGAGTACGATCCTCTGTAATCTAGGCGAGCGGATGACGGCTGCGGAAAGCCGCATAAGGATAAGAAGGGGTATATTCCAGGGCGACTGTCTGAGTCCAATCTGGTTCTGCCTCTCTTTGAACCCTCTCAGTACTATACTGGAGGGCTCCGGGAGGGGATTTCAGCTTCGGAAGGGAGGTACAAAAGTGACCCACCTTTTCTATATGGATGACCTCAAATTATTCGCCTCCAGTCGCTCCCATCTTGTGGAATTGCTAAACATCACGTGTGAATTTAGCAATTCTATTGGAATGGAGCTGGGGACGGATAAGTGTGCGGTCCTCCATGTTGAAAGGGGAAGGGTTGCTAACTCTGAGGGCGTAGAATTATCTATGCCCGTCAACTTAAGGACCCTTTCCGAGGCTGAACCATACCGATACCCGGGTATGTCACAGAACATCGGTATCGATGAGACTGGTATGAAACAGTCAGTTTGCGACGTGTTTTATGCACGCTTGACCAAAGTGCTTAACAGCCTTTTGTCCGGTGTGAATAAGGCACACGCATATAACGGTTGGGTCATGCCTGTCCTCATGTATACCTTTGGCATACTCAGGTGGAGTCAGACTGAACTTAACGCCCTGGATAGAAAAGTACGCACTACCATGACGTCCCATAGGATGCATCATCCGAGATCGTCGGTAATGAGGCTGTACTTGCCGCGAAAGCATGGTGGGCGTGGCTTCTTGAGCGCGCTCACCATGCATAATCGCGAAGTGTGCAGCCTCCGTCATTACTTCCTGGCGAGATCGGATGATCCATTCTATAAGGACGTCATTTCTTGTGATAAAGGACTTACCCCTCTATCCTTAGCCAACGAGCAATGGCAAGACCCGGCAGTACAGAGCATTTCCGACCGGGAGACCGTATGGAAGGAGAAGGAGCTCCACGGGAGGTACTACAAGGCTCTACATGAGCCTCACGTAGATACAGTAGCCTCCCTCAACTGGCTACGCTTCGGTGATCTCTTCGGGGAAACCGAGGGTTTTGTCTGTGCAATACAGGATCAGGTTATTAAGACCAACAACTATCGGAGATACATCCTAAAGGATGGCACCGTCGACGTCTGTCGAGCTTGTCGCCATCCCGGTGAGTCACTTAGGCATGTCATCTCCGGTTGTTCGGCGCTTTCTAACTCTGAGTACTTGCACAGGCACAACCTAGTAGCCAGAATTCTACACCAGGAGCTCGCTCTGAAATACGGTCTCGTGGACCGGAAATTGCCGTATTACAAGTACTTGCCGGAAGCCGTGCTCGAAAATGATCGCGCCAGGCTCTATTGGGACCGGGCCATCATCACAGACAGGACTATTCTTGCGAATAAGCCTGATATTGTGCTGATGGACCGGGCACAGTCAAGGATATTTTTGGTCGACATTACCATTCCGTATGACGAGAACCTCGTGAAAGCCGAAACAGATAAACAAACAAAATATCTGGACCTGGCTCACGAGGTGACCGACATGTGGGGTGGTGTGCCGGCCGAAATTATTCCTGTAGTCGTCTCTGCAAACGGGCTAATCCCAGTCAGCCTCTCGGGTCATCTGAGGCGGCTGGGACTCCGTGACGGACCGCTCCAGGCTCAAATGCAGAAGGCGGTGCTCCTCGATACCGCCCGCATCGTCCGCCGGTTTCTTTCCCTTTCCCCCTAACCCTCGGCCGTCTGGTCTCCCCTGCCGAGGGCACCCATCTGGTTGGGATCTTACTTATTTATGTAGTTTTTGTATTTATTTTATTTTATTGATATATATATGTACATTTATCTTTTCATTTTCATTTATAATTATATATTTATAGAACCCAACCAGATGAAAAAACTATATAAATACCCCATAATAATAATAATAAAGCATGCGAACCGCCAGCCGAGCGCGAGGTGCTGCACGACCACCCAGCAGCCCCTCGCATCCATCATCCCCACCAGCTGGCTTGGTGTCGGCAGGGTCTTCGCGGGCCCAGCAATCGGCACCCGCCTCTGGTGGAGTACGCCGCATGCGTTGGACAACCCAGATGAACAGCAACGCATTGCGGCGTATTTTAGGGCGAAAGGGGGAGAAACTGGATGTTTGGCGTATCGGGCTAGGATGCATCGTCTTTTTGCTGAGCTGGAGCCATCTTTAACCGTCACAGAGCAAAACCTGGCAGACCGAGTTCGGTATATCTTGCGCTCAAATATATTTGATGTCGCCGAACTCGAACGGCTACGACGTGAGGCTGTTCCCTCGTCGGATGAGAATGCTACGGCTGAGGATGCGGCGCTACAAATGGTAGAGCAACCCGCAAACGTGGATGCCGCCGTGAATACCCCAGTTGTGGTTGATTCAAACGATGATGGAACAGTCGCCCAGGAACTGGAATTAGAGCATATGAGGAGTACATTGGAAGAGGCGATTGTGTAAACGCGCAGAACGCCTCTCGAAAATCGACCGCGACTTCCCCGCATAGCCATAAGCAAGCGGAATCGGGCTGTCGTGAGGGCTCTGAACCCAATGCTGGTTACCTATTTGGAAGCCAGCCGGGACTTTGCGAGACGGACTCAATTCTTTTTGGCGCCGCGCTGGCAGTCTGCCGTATCATAGGCGCCAAGGTTTCCACGGCTGGACGCGCTACTGGCCATAGTAGCGCTATCCCAGCATGGAGAAGAAGAATTGAGGAACGTATCGCAAAGGCTAGAGCTCTCATCGGCAGACTGATATGCTTCAGATCAGGCAACAACAGGCCAAGAATTGTGCGCACCGTCAGGATGGCGTTTGCTGGGACAAATGTCAGTTTGTCCCAGCCGGATATAACGCAAAAACTGACGGAGCGCATAGATGATCTGAAGCAGAGAATCGCTGCTTGGGGAAAGCGGATTCGGCGATATACCGAGAGGTCGACACGGTTCAACCAGAATCGTCTCTTCCAGAGTGATCAGAAGAGGCTCTATGAATCATTGGAGCGACCAATGGTAAGTGGAACGGGTCCAGCACCGAATCAGGCCGACACGGTAGCATTCAGGCGCGGCCTGTGGTCAGAGCCCGTAAACCACAGCGAGGGCCCTTGGACGGAAGTTGTGGCGAGTCAGTGTGCGGGTATTACGCCCATGGACCCCGTCATCATAACGCCGGATGACGTAGCTGAGGCGGTCCGTAGGGCCCCGAACTGGAAAAGTCCGGGGCTTGACGGGCTGCATCACTACTGGCTGAAGGGGTTCATGGTGTGTCACTCTGTGCTCGCCCGACAGTTTCAAGAGGCTCTCAACCAGAAGTCGCTCCCAAGCCTCTTCACTACTGGGATCACTCATTTGGTTCCTAAAGACCAGGTTACCACAGACCCGAGCAATTACCGCCCCATCACGTGTCTACCGACCATATACAAGACACTAACATCCATTTTGAGCGCGAGAATCACTTGTCACCTGGACTCAAATCAGGTGATGTCGCGCGCTCAAAATGGATGTTGGGGCGGTGGTCGTGGAACCAAGGAACCACTCCTCATTGACGCGGTCATTGGCAAAGTGGTGAAACGCAACCGTCGGAACTTCTCCGCCGCCTGGATAGACTACAGAAAGGCATTCGACTCGGTGCCCCATACATGGCTAAAGAGAGTCCTCGAGCTGTACAAGATAGACTGTACAGTTAGAGACTTCCTGGAGCAGTGTATGGGGCAGTGGAGTACGATCCTCTGTAATCTGGGCGAGCGGATGACGGCTGCGGAAAGCCGCATAAGGATAAGAAGGGGTATATTCCGGGGCGACTGTCTGAGTCCAATCTGGTTCTGCCTCTCTTTGAACCCTCTCAGTACTATACTGGAGGGCTCCGGGAGGGGATTTCAGCTACGGAAAGGAGGGACAAAAGTGACCCACCTTTTCTATATGGATGACCTCAAGTTATTCGCCTCCAGTCGCTCCCATCTTATGGAATTGCTAAACATCACTTGTGAATTTAGCAATTCCATTGGAATGGAGCTTGGGACGGATAAGTGTGCGGTCCTCCATGTTGAAAGGGGAAGGGTTGCTAACTCTGAGGGCGTAGACTTATCTATGCCCGTCAACTTAAGGACCCTTTCCGAGGCTGAAACATACCGATACCTGGGTATGTCACAAAACATCGGTATCGATGAGACTGGTATGAAACAGTCAGTTTGCGGCGTGTTTTATGCACGCTTGACCAAAGTGCTTAACAGCCTTTTGTCCGGTGTGAATAAGGCAGACGCATATAACGGCTGGGTCATGCCTGTCCTCATGCATACCTTTGACATACGCAGGTGGACTCAGACTGAACTTAACGCCCTGGATAGAAAAGTCCGCACTACCATGACGTCCCATAGGATGCATCATCCGAGATCGTCGGTAATGAGGCTGTACTTGTCGCGGAAGCATGGTGGTCGTGGCTTCTTGAGCGCGCTCACCATGCATAATCGCGAAGTGTGCAGCCTCCGTGATTACTTCCTGGCGAGATCGGATGATCCATTCTATAAGGACGTCATTTCTTGTGATAAAGGACTTACCCCTCTATCCTTAGCCAACGAGCAATGGCAAGACCCGGCAGTGCAGAGCATTTCCGACCGGGAGACCGTATGGAAGGAGAAGGAGCTCCACGGGAGGTTCTACAAGGCTCTACATGAGCCTTTCGTAGACACAGTAGCCTCCCTCCACTGGCTACGTTTCGGTGACCTCTTCGGGGAAACCGAGGGTTTTGTCTGTGCAATACAGGATCAGGTTATTAAGACCAACAACTGCTGATGGACCGGGCACAGTCAAGGATATTTTTGGTCGACATTACCATTCCGTATGACGAGAACCTCTTGAAAGCCGAAACAGACAAGCAAACAAAATATCTGGACCTGGCTCACGAGGTGACCGACATGTGGGGTGGTCTGCCGACCGAAATTATTCCTGTAGTCGTCTCTGCAAACGGGCTAATCCCAGTCAGCCTCTCGGGTCATCTGAGGCGGCTGGGACTACGTGGCGGACCGCTCCAGGTTCAAATGCAGAAGGCGGTGCTCCTCGATACCGCCCGCATCGTCCGCCGGTTTCTTTCCCTTTCCCCCTAACCCTCGGCCGTGTGGTCTCCCCTGCCGAGGGCCTCCATCTGGTTGGGCTTTTATTTATTTATGTACTTTTATATTTATTTTATGTTATTGATATTTATGTATATTTATCTTTTCATTTTCATTTATAATTATATATTTATAGAACCCAACCAGATGAGAAAACTATATAGATACCCCATAATAATAATAAATGTGTGTGTGTGTGTGTGTGCGTGCGTGCGTGCGTGCGTGCGTGCGTGCGTGCGTGCGTGCGTGCGTGCGAGCGTTGCGCGCGTGCGTGCGTGCGTGCGTTGCGCGCGTGCGTGCCTGCGCGCGTGCGTGCCTGTCGCGCGTGCATGCGCGCGTGCGCGTGCGCGTGCGCGTGCGTGTGCGTGTGCGCGTGCGCGTGCGCCAAAACGAACCCAAACTCGGCACACCTAGTTTTACTAGTCTAGCAGTTCCAGTAGTAATCACCCAATTAAACCTTCAGGTCATTCCATCAAGACCGGAGGTAAGGTCTCATCGTAACTAACAAAACGAACCCAAACTCGGCACACCTAGTTCCACTAGTCTAGGAGTTCCAGTTTAATCACTGAATTACACCTTCAGGTTACTCCATCAAGTCCGGTGGTAAGATCTCATCGTAACTAACAAAATAAGCCCAAACTCGGCACACCTAGTTTTACTCTGCAAGAAGTTCAAATAGCGGTCACGAAAGTACACCTTCAGGTCACACCATCAAGTCCGGAGGTAAGGTCTCATCATAACCAACAAAACGAGCCCAAACTCGGCACACCTAGTTCCGCTCGTCCAGAAGTTGCAGTAGTAGTTACCTTCAGGTCACTCTATCAAGTTCAGAGGTAAGTTTATAATAGCCTACTTATTTTTAGCTAAATAAAAAACTGTGAGTATAAAAATAATAATTTTATCACTTGTCAAGTACTTATGTTTCCAATTTGCTTTTTTCTAATATTTTGTGTATGTACAGCGATCTTTTCAGAATGAGCCGCTGCTAACAGGCGATACAGTGTCCACACACGACGGCGGCCGAGCGCAGAATGTGGTTTCATCGAAATCTTTGTACAATAAATCAAAGCAGGCACCAACAATAAAATAGCCCTTATTGCAATAGATTATGATTCATCCGTATTAGCAAAATATGTGAAAAAATGTGCATCAGTTTTTATTTTTTCTACGACTATTGACATTTTATAAAAAAAAACACAGGGTTTTTTAATTGAATATGTCGTCATCAATATTTTTTTTTAAATATGTTGATAATAGACCAAAACATGTACCGAAACTCAAGCCGGTTTCGTTAATTTTGTAGAAAATGGCAACGAAAGTTCGTTTTTACAATATAAAAAACTACTATTTTCAAACAAAACAGTTACAGACGTTTGCAGATGAAGAACCAATCTATACATGGTAGTTTTTACTTATATTTGATTTGGTTTAGTTTTGTCACAAAATCTACCTAAAAACACCCTAATTTTGCTTGATATGCAAACGCATCCTTAAGGGTCACCAATATTTATTCTGATTTCTCATAGTCCCAAGTCAATAAATGACTTCTCATTTTTATTTTAGCCTCATAAAGTTGGGATCGTTTTAAGTCGTATAAGTTGACTAATTTGTTGTAGATGCGAGGGAATTGGAACAGTCTGAAATGACGTGCGAAAGATGTTTTAATTAAGGTTGTGGGGATCTTACACACTCTTTTATTTATTAATATATTAAACGTCGGCAGCTTTGAAGCTTCCCTGTGCATAAATGTAAAGGCCCTCAGAAGATACAATCTACGGACACTTAAAACTTGAGCTTCTCTAAAGAGATCTGATAGCGCCTTGGTTTACCCATAGCTACCTTCAAAACTGCCCTCTGGGCCCTTTCCAGTACTATCAACGTAGAGGAGGATATGCCACCCCACGCCAGTATACAATAGCTAAGTACGGACTGACATAGTGCAAGGTAGACTGACTTTAAAATGCTGCCATCAGTAGAATCTCTCAATAGTCTCATCGTGTGTATCATCTTACGGACCCTGCCTGATGTCACCGATATATGACTTTTAAAGTTAAGATTTTCATCTATTATAATGCCCAAATATTTAAGGGAGCCCAAATATTTAAGGGAACCGACCCTATTTATCTGGTCACAGTTACAATTTGGAGAGCTCACGGAGCGAAAACTACAGTTGTTATTGTGTACTTTAAGGCTATTGAAAAGTGAGGGTGGCGGTTCAGACGCTGCAGTTTTATGAAAACAAATTAACTGCGTTTTTGAGGTGTTCAGTGTTAAGATGTTGTTATTTAACCATTTTTGTAATTTATGCAACCCGGAGATGGCCGTAAAGTAGGCGTCGTACCAAGATTTACCACAGAATATTATGGCTGTATCGTCAGCATAACATACAATCTCACTATTTTCAAGTTGAATTGACATAATGTCATTAATGTACGAAATAAAAAGAGTCGGCCGCAAGATGCTACCTTGAGGAACACCAAAATCTACAGATCTAAGATCGCTTGCCTGATCACCTATTTGAACGCATTGCTTTCTATCCGACAGATAGCTGGAAAACCAGTTTAGAGCTAGACCACGAATCCCAAGAGCACTTAATTTCTTAAGGAGGATGGGGATGGATACCGTGTCGAATGCTTTAGCCAGATCGAGAAAAACACCGACACTGGATCGACCCTGATCGAGATGAGTTACAACCGTATCTGTGAGAAGAGTTACTGCATCCTCAGTTGATTTTCCCTTGCGAAAACCAAACTGACGGTCCGAGAGTTTTCAAGATAGTTAGTCAGCCGCTTATGGACAACACGTTCCAGGAGCTTCGAGTAACTATCCAGGAGTGATATGGGTCGGTAATTACAAGGATCGTCCGTAGCTCCATTCTTGTATATGGGTAACTGCCGCAACTTTCCACCACCTCGGGAAGACTCCCGACGAGATACTTAAGTTAAATATCGCAGCCAGGGGCTCCGCGATTATGTGGGCCACTGATTTTAAAAGTTTGTTAGTGATGCCGTCCATACCATACCAGGCGCACTACCTGAATCAAGAGACCGGATGAGACCCAAAACTTCCAGTTCATCTGTAGGATTCATGAAAAATTAACCAACGGGTTGATCAGGATCTGAACTTTTTCGGCAAGGGACTCTTGAGTCTCATTTAATTTCAGCATGATAGAGTTTGCCAGCTTATTACATACAGAGGCAAAGTATGAGTTGCAAACATTGAGAGACTCTTTTACGGAGGGTCTTGAGTTGATGAGAGCCAGGGGAGAACTTGAGCTAGTGTCTTTACCAGTTATGCGGTTAATAGTACCCCAGAGTTTTTTTGGAGCATATTTATTTTTGATTATTTCTTTTTTGTTGTAATCACGTTTTAGTCCTCTAATTAGATCTATGTAAAAATTTCTATAGCGCGTATATATAAGTTTTTTAGTTGGGTTGTTTGGGTCCTTGCGATATTCTATATGAAGCTTATCGCGGTGTTTAGAGCATCTGATTAAACCAGGAGTCATCCAGGGGTGTAAGGTAGTTCTGGAGCGGCTTATTACACAAGTTTTTGAATATCTCAATATTGCCTCTGATACCGTCTTAGTAAAGTGAGTTACAGACTCTTCAAGAGAGCTGCAGTTTATTACTGTTGACCAGTCCGTTCCTTCCAGCTCTGATCTTATTAAGTCTATGTCAACTATTACTCTTGATCGAATAGGTTTTGGTCTTTTTTGTTTGTGCGTCTTTAACATTATGCCTGCCATAGTGATATTATGGTCAGTGGCAGCACTGAGATAGACTACGGACTCCGCATTAGATTTCACGGGTACAAAAATGTGATCTATGCAGGTTTTGACCCGATTTGGTTTGGTTATAGCTGGAAAAAGTCCGTACTCTGCTAATACATCTAAGTACTCCGTGTGCAAGTTTTTGTCAGCTGCGGACCTAATAATATTTAAGTTTACGTCTCCAGCAAAAATAAGATAAGGAGAGGGACTAACCGTTTTTAAGTTAGCGTCAAGAGAGCGAATAAATGTTTCCGGGTTGGTGTAACTAGGTGATCTGTAAGCGGCTACTACTGAGAAGTGATTTGCAACTTCTGCGAGAATACAATTACCCTCGTCAACGTTCAGCTCAGAAAAATTGGGTAACCACCTATCTCTTATGTAGATAGCGACTCCTCCTGCTCTGTTAATATACCTTTTAGAGTAAAATGATGTAAATCCTTGCAATAGGGGGGACCGTCACAAACTCATTAAGCTAGCACTCGCTGAAGACAATAGCGTCGAAATGAAGATCCAACCTTTTTGGGGTTACTAGGAAATTATCAAAGTTTTTACGCATGCTTCATAAGTTCATGCTTAAAATTCTAAATGAAAATCTAGACAGAACGTCTTTACAATCCTCTGGGAACGTTATGTTGTGGCACTTTATCTGAGATGAATTATCTATAGCATCTAACAATTCTAGGGAAGCCATGGGAAAATCGTGAAAAATTGATTGGAGTATTTTGGCATTAAAGGAGAGAGTGCCATATAAACATAAGAAGGGGTGTAAATAACCACGAAATATTTTGAGGAATGTACCATGGGGGAGAAGATGTGTAGGTGTGTTAAAATGTGTATGTGATTGCGCTTACAATTGTGAAGAGTTAAATTCAAAGTTATGATAAGTATGATGAGTATATAAGAAAAATGGCGACCATATGGACTGTAAATTAGTGACAAAATATTAATGACTAGGCTCTTGAGGCTCAGGTAATGTTTACTGAGTGGTCGCCGTATCTGGTTTGGTTTGGGCACAAAGTAGGCGGCTGAGATCATTTTCCGACCTAATACGGATTGCGGGGATACCTTCCTTGACATCCCCTTTCCTAATAAATATGGATCCGTTCCGAAGCTAGCAAAACCTGTAGCCATGTTCGACGGTGAAAGCTCTCGCAGTACGAAATAACCGTCGATTTTCGCCAGTAAGATGCTCATTTACGTAGATCAAATTTTCAGGCCCATGATTCAAAATGTCTTTACTCTTTAGGTTTTTTTCTAGCTTTCGCGTGTTTAAGGAATTCCTCACGTTTAAATCGACGGGTAAAAGCAACCACCAAGGAACGATGAAGTTTACGGTTCCCACTCACGTTAGTATTTATGTTTTGGTTTTTGGGACCAGCTCGGTGCGCATAATTCAAGTCCATATCCTGAAGCTCAATGCCCAGTTTAGCGGCGACAGTTATTACCAAGTGAGTTGGGTTTTCATTTGGTGTTTCTTCTAGACCCGATATTTCCAGCTCATTTCCTAAGGCAATCTGAGCTTGGCTGTTTAGACGAGACTGCAGATTGGCAACGGTGGCCTTAAGGACATTATTTTCTTTTTCAAAGGACTCAAGTGACTTAATTCGCCGATCATAGTCCGCCAGTTTGGAGTTCAAGGCGTCGAGACATTCGCGAAGGTGGGTGATGTCGTCTCTTATATCAGTACTTATCTTGGATAACTTACAATCAAGCAACGCGCCAAACTGGTCGTATGTTATTGCCGCAGCGGGAGGGGTGGGGGTTGTAGTTGAATTATTATTTACTTGGCTGTCATTTAACGCCCCGTCGGTGGTTCCCAGAACCTCGTCGCATGACACGAACATGTCATGCGACGAGGTTCTGTGGATGATGGAGTGGATAATGGAGAGAGTTGTCTACGAACCGGTGTGTTGTCCTCCTTGCGTCGCGTGATCCGATTACAGGAATGGCATTTCCAATTCCTTTTTAAGGCTGGAAGATTTTCTTTGTAATAAGCGGAGGATATGTTGTAATATTTGTAGTGGTAGCATCCCTTGCATGCAGAGCAATTCAGCTGTACCTCGGGTTGGGTAAATTTATGACAGGCCAAACAAATCATTTTATATTATGTAGCTGTTGTAATATTATGCTCAAGTGACTTTATTTCTAAAAACGCGCAAAGGCGCTGCCCCATACATGGCTAAATAGAGTCCTCGAGCTGTACAAGATAGACTGTACAGTTAGAGACTTCCTGGAGCAGTGTATGGGGCAGTGGAGTACGATCCTTTGTCATCTGGGCGAGCGGATGATGGCTGCGGAGAACCACATAAGGATAAGAAGGGGTATCTTCCAGGGCGACTGTCTGAGTCCAATCTGGTTCTGCCTCTCTCTGAACCCTCTCAGTACCTTACTGGAGGGCTCCGGGAGGGGATTTCAGCTACGGAAAGGAGGGACAAAAGTGACCCACCTTTTCTATATGGATGACCTCAAGTTATTCGCCTCCAGTCGCTCCCATCTTATGGAATTGCTAAACATCACTTGTGAATTTAGCAATTCCATTGGAATGGAGCTTGGGACGGATAAGTGTGCGGTCCTCCATGTTGAAAGGGGAAGGGTTGCTAACTCTGAGGGCGTAGACTTATCTATGCCCGTCAACTTAAGGACCCTTTCCGAGGCTGAAACATACCGATACCTGGGTATGTCACAAAACATCGGTATCGATGAGACTGGTATGAAACAGTCAGTTTGCGGCGTGTTTTATGCACGCTTGACCAAAGTGCTTAACAGCCTTTTTGTCCGGTGTGAATAAGGCAGACGCATATAACGGCTGGGTCATGCCTGTCCTCATGCATACCTTTGACATACGCAGGTGGACTCAGACTGAACTTAACGCCCTGGATAGAAAAGTCCGCACTACCATGACGTCCCATAGGATGCATCATCCGAGATCGTCGGTAATGAGGCTGTACTTGTCGCGGAAGCATGGTGGTCGTGGCTTCTTGAGCGCGCTCACCATGCATAATCGCGAAGTGTGCAGCCTCCGTGATTACTTCCTGGCGAGATCGGATGATCCATTCTATAAGGACGTCATTTCTTGTGATAAAGGACTTACCCCTCTATCCTTAGCCAACGAGCAATGGCAAGACCCGGCAGTGCAGAGCATTTCCGACCGGGAGACCGTATGGAAGGAGAAGGAGCTCCACGGGAGGTTCTACAAGGCTCTACATGAGCCTTTCGTAGACACAGTAGCCTCCCTCCACTGGCTACGTTTCGGTGACCTCTTCGGGGAAACCGAGGGTTTTGTCTGTGCAATACAGGATCAGGTTATTAAGACCAACAACTGCTGATGGACCGGGCACAGTCAAGGATATTTTTGGTCGACATTACCATTCCGTATGACGAGAACCTCTTGAAAGCCGAAACAGACAAGCAAACAAAATATCTGGACCTGGCTCACGAGGTGACCGACATGTGGGGTGGTCTGCCGACCGAAATTATTCCTGTAGTCGTCTCTGCAAACGGGCTAATCCCAGTCAGCCTCTCGGGTCATCTGAGGCGGCTGGGACTACGTGGCGGACCGCTCCAGGTTCAAATGCAGAAGGCGGTGCTCCTCGATACCGCCCGCATCGTCCGCCGGTTTCTTTCCCTTTCCCCCTAACCCTCGGCCGTTTGGTCTCCCCTGCCGAGGGCCTCCATCTGGTTGGGCTTTTATTTATTTATGTACTTTTATATTTATTTTATGTTATTGATATTTATGTATATTTATCTTTTCATTTTCATTTATAATTATATATTTATAGAACCCAACCAGATGAGAAAACTATATAGATACCCCATAATAATAATAAATGTGTGTGTGTGTGTGTGTGCGTGCGTGCGTGCGTGCGTGCGTGCGTGCGTGCGTGCGTGCGTGCGTGCTTGCGCGCGTGCGTGCGTGCGTGCTTGCGCGCGTGCGTGCCTGCGCGCGTGCGTGCCTGCGCGCGTGTGGCGCGTGCGCGTGCGCGTGCGCGTGCGTGTGCGTGTGCGCGTGCGCGTGCGCCAAAACGAACCCAAACTCGGCACACCTAGTTTTACTAGTCTAGCAGTTCCAGTAGTAATCACCCAATTAAACCTTCAGGTCATTACATCAAGACCGGAGGTAAGGTCTCATCGTAACTAACAAAACGAACCCAAACTCGGCACACCTAGTTCTACTAGTCTAGGAGTTCTAGTTTAATCACTGAATTACACCTTCAGGTTACTCCATCAAGTCCGGTGGTAAGGTCTCATCGTAACTAACAAAATAAGCCCAAACTCGGCACACCTAGTTTTACTCTGCAAGAAGTTCAAATAGCGGTCACGAAAGTACACCTTCAGGTCACACCATCAAGTCCGGAGGTAAGGTCTCATCATAACCAACAAAACGAGCCCAAACTCGGCACACCTAGTTCCGCTCGTCCAGAAGTTGCAGTAGTAGTTACCTTCAGGTCACTCTATCAAGTTCAGAGGTAAGTTTATAATAGCCTACTTATTTTTAGCTAAATAAAAAACTGTGAGTATAAAAATAATAATTTTATCACTTGTCAAGTACTTATGTTTCCAATTTGCTTTTTTCTAATATTTTGTGTATGTACAGCGATCTTTTCAGAATGAGCCGCTGCTAACAGGCGATACAGTGTCCACACACGACGGCGGCCGAGCGCGGAATGTGGTTTCATCGAAATCTTTGTACAATAAATCAAAGCAGGCACCAACAATAAAATAGCCCTTATTGCAATAGATTATGATTCATCCGTATTAGCAAAATATGTGAAAAAATGTGCATCAGTTTTTATTTTTTCTACGACTATACTTTTAAAAAAATAAACAAGGTTTTTTAATTGAATATTCGAGTTTTTTATTAAAGAAAACTACCGAAACTCCGGTTTCGTTAATTTTGTAGAAAATGGCAACGAAAGTTCGTTTTTACAATACAAAAAACTACTTTTTTCAACAAAACAGTTACAGACGTTTGCAGATGAAGAACCAATCTATACATGGTAGTTTTTACTTATATTTGATTTGGTTTAGTTTTGTCACAAAATCTAACTAAAAACACCCTAATTTTGGTTGATTTGCAAACGCGTCCTTAAGGGTCACCAATATTTATTCTGATTTCTCATAGTCCCAAGTCAATAAATGACTTCTCATTTTTATTTTAGCCTCATAAAGTTGGGATCGTTTTAAGTCGTATAAGTTGACTAATTTGTTGTAGATGCGAGGGAATTGGAACAGTCTGAAATGACGTGCGAAAGATGTTTTAATTAAGGTTGTGGGGATCTTACACACTCTTTTATTTATTAATGTATTAAACGTCGGCAGTTTTGAAGCTTCCCTGTGCATAAATGTAAAGGCCCTCAGAAGATACAATCTACGGACACTTAAAACTTGAGCTTCTCTAAAGAGATCTGATAGCGCCTTGGTTTACCCATAGCTACCTTCAAAACTGCCCTCTGGGCCCTTTCCAGTACTATCAACGTAGAGGAGGATATGCCACCCCACGCCAGTATACAATAGCTAAGTACGGACTGACATAGTGCAAGGTAGACTGACTTTAAAATGCTGCCATCAGTAGAATCTCTCAATAGTCTCATCGTGTGTATCAGCTTACGGACCCTGCCTGATGTCACCGATATATGACTTTTAAAGTTAGATTTTCATCTATTATAATGCCCAAATATTTAAGGGAGCCTAAATATTTAAGGGAACCGACCCTATTTATCTGGTCACAGTTACAATTTGGAGAGCTCACGGAGCGAAAACTACAGTTGTTATTGTGTACTTTAAGGCTATTGAAAAGTGAGGGTAGCGGTTCAGACGCTGCAGTTTTATGAAAACAAATTAACTGCGTTTTTGAGGTGTTCAGTGTTAAGATGTTGTTACTTAACCATTTTTGTAATTTATGCAACCCGGAGATAGCTGAAAAGTAGGCGTCGTACCAAGATTTACCATAGAATATTATGGCTGTATCGTCAGCATAACATACAATCTCACTATTTTCAAGTTGAATTGACATAATGTCATTAATGTACGAAATAAAAAGAGTCGGCCGCAAGATGCTACCTTGAGGAACACCAAAATCTACAGATCTAAGATCGCTTGCCTGATCACCTATTTGAACGCATTGCTTTCTATCCGACAGATAGCTGGAAAACCAGTTTAGAGCTAGACCACGAATCCCAAGAGCACTTAATTTCTTAAGGAGGATGGGGATGGATACCGTGTCGAATGCTTTAGCCAGATCGAGAAAAACACCGACACTGGATCGACCCTGATCGAGATGAGTTACAACCATATCTGTGAGAAGAGTTACTGCGTCCTCAGTTGATTTTCACTTGTGAAAACCAAACTGACGGTCCGAGAGTATGCTATTCTTTTCAAGATAGTTAGTCAGCCGCTTATGGACAACACGTTCCAGGAGCTTCGAGTAACTACCCAGAAGTGATTTGGGTCGGTAATTACAAGGATCGTCCGTAGCTCCATTCTTGTATATGGGGGTAACTGTCGCAACTTTCCACCAGCTTGGGAAGACTCCCGACGAGATACTTAAGTTAAATATCGCAGCCAGGGGCTCCGCGATTGTGTGGGCCACTGATTTTAAAAGTTTGTTAGTGATGCCGTCCATACCATACCAGGCGCACTACCTGAATCAAGAGACCGGATGAGACCCAAAACTTCCAGTTCATCTGTAGGATTCATGAAAAATTAACCAACGGGTTGATCAGGATCTGAACTTTTTCGGCAAGGGACTCTTGAGTCTCATTTAATTTCAGCATGATGGAGTTTGCCAGCTTATTACATACAGAGGCAAAGTATGAGTTGCAAACATTGAGAGACTCTTTTACGG